TTCAATTACTTCTTGTGTTGTAATCGGTACATCATCATGTACCGCTAGCATCGTTAAACCATTCAGCCGCTCCTTAATTGTATAAAAAGAAGGGACAAATAAGATAGCATATTCAACAATTGAGTAGTCCACTTATGTAAATTTTTTTAGATTTTTAGTTTTTGGTGGGTTTCATGTACATAACTGCAGAGTGAAACATTTTTCTATACATATTCTGAAAATAATAGCGTGAAATGTTAACTACTCTTGCAAAAGTCGCTATAATAATTATTTATACACTTTCAAAATCTCCTCTTCGTATGAACTTAGAAAACTGCAAGAAAACATGGTAGTTTCGGTGCCCACACGGTCAAAAATTTGGGTTTAATTTTTAAACCGCGCTGGGACTACTGCCTTTTTTAATCTTTTATAGTCCACTTTTTAAAGCAGTCAATAGTTTTAAGCAATTTTTAATATATTGTGGTTTAAATTTTAGACCAAAAAGTTCGTGGTTTAAAAATCAAACCAAAATGTTTTAATTCTAGTTTCTAGGTTTCATATATAGAATATTTGGTTTAAAATCTAAACCGAAATAGAAAATGTTTGCACACAGCGAAATGTGGTGTTGATTCAAACTCAACATATGAAAGCACATTTACATGCGTGGCTGTAGCTGAGTGTGCAAAGAAGCTGATAGAATTGGTTGCTACCAAGGCTGTCCGGGTTCAATCCCCATCAGACGCAGCATGAAATTTAAGATTTTTTATTTTTTACTCTTGATTATGACAATGTTTGGATTTAAAATTTAAATCGAACTGTTTAAATTCTAAACCCAACATATGTGCTCTCTTTTTTTTAAACTTTGAAGGTTTGTATTTGAAACTGAATTTAGTTAGGTCATATATGTAGTCCAAAAAGTTTAAAATTTAAACCGAAATTTTTAACCGTGTAGTGGAAGAGGTCGCAAAAGTGAAGCAAACCAATCTTCCTAGAGCAGAGAACGCGAAAAGCTAGCTATGTAAAAGTTACTGTTTCAAAACTTGCAATACTAAATTTTTAAATATTAAATTTGCAAATCAACCATACTGCAATTTTATTTTTTTAATGGTATTAGGCTCTTATTTATCCAAATTTCCAGGTAATAAAAAAAGATACAATTCGGATGTTACTTGTTGTCGTAGACGTTTTTTCTTTAATTTATGTCTTACTTTTATAAAATCACATAACGCAGTTTGCAAGTGGACTACTCGTATATTCATTAAGGGCCGTTTGCACCATGCACGTTAACTGCTTTATCGATCACATGTTATATGATGGGTGTCGATAACGTCGATAAAGATGTTTAACTGGGAGTTAGAATTAACTACACATGGTGCAAACGGCCCTAAAAGATAATTTGTCATCCGTCTGAAATAAAAAAATTTTAAATCAGAAGGATAAAATAGTATTGTGTTATTAATTCAAAAGTAAATAACTGTAGTTCAATGACGAAGGGGGGGAGGGGGATCTATCCCCCCAAATCCCCCTGGCTACGCCACTGACTCCTCAGAACGAGATAGATAGTGTGTAATCACATAATTTTAATAAATAGAACATAAGAAAATATTTATTTTTATGTTTGCCACTCCGAATTTAGTTTTGGGACTCACCCGCGATGCAAAATTACATCGTTAGATTTAATCTTCACATTTTTTTGATGATCTTTAGGAATATGTTAGAAATCAGCATCAGGGGTTCCACTGAAAGCAGTAAAGTTTTGAAAGGGGCGTACGAGAAAATAAGTTTGGGAAGCTCTAGTATACCATGTAATATACCTATGCAGTTTTGTGAGATGTACCAAAAATGTATACATCGTTGCAAACTGTAATTTCTTAAGAAGTAAAAGACTTGGCTGTTTACCAAACCGGTCCATGGCTTTATCAATAATCTCAGATTGGTTCTCTCATACAATCTTTCGATGTATAGACACAAACGTAAAAACAAAGTAAACACAATTGAGCTATAAATTTTTTTATTATTTACCGTTCAATCCATTTTTGCTCATTGTCGACTTCAGCCAGATTTTTACCCTTCTTAAACAGAATTACTTTGAAGTTAGCGAGAATAACTTGAAACAGAACACATTCACTTTTTTAATTATGAAAATTTACAAACTATTTTGTTAGCATTCAGTGTACGATTTTATATACTTGAAGGTTAGGGGGTCCAAATTATCGAGCTAGCATTTCCTGGTACTATTTTTGAAAATATATATGAAACAATTTGGAATTTAGACAACCCATTTTTTCGCATTCTATAGGCTTAATACTTTCGATTGGAGTATAATTTGTTCATTAAACAAATGAGTGCAAAATTCAAAAAAAAAAACAATTAATTAAAAATATCCTGGCCAGGATTTCATGCAAAGTAGATTTCACCCATAAAACAGATGGGTGAAGGTTCGGGTTGCCAACATTTTCTAAGATATTTATAGTACTTTCTCAAAGAATTGGAAAAATTATAGTACACTTCAAATAAATATAGTATTTTATTTAAAAGAAAAAGTAAAACTATTTTTAAGTGGTGGACAATCTCTTCCCGTGTCAAAGTTGTTTTAATAGAGAGTAGAAATTAAAGAATTTTAAGTAAATTTGTTAACTCTTTCATAGTTATGTTACCTTTTTTATTATAAACTCACAATCACCTTTTACTTTAAAGAATATTTCATTTAATATTGTTATTTCAGAATAAAGGTCATCCATTTGTATACCCATTTTGGCGTGCAAATTACTGAAATATATTTATAATTGAAGGAATATAGTATTGTTGCGTACTATATTTTTCACTTACCTAATTTTTGGGCATTTTTTGCATATTATTAGCAATAAATAATTGTTTAAAAAATTAGCACATGAAAATTGTAGGGAATCGAATTCTCTACAAATTTGTTCTGAACCTTTTTTCGCGAGAAATGCTATCTTCGTTCTTAAGTTTTCATTCATGTATTTAGCACCTTTCTGTGTGAAATCACTTTTTTTTTAATGATTGTAGATTGAAAAAATATATATAAGCCCCATGATTCATGCTCATTATTGACATTCGAGTTTTGACACTCCCTTACAAAACCCTGTAGGACCTCGGAATAGACTTAGAGCACACCACAAACTAGACTGCAAGTGATTGTAACTAGTCCAAAGTTTTGTCCAAGAACATGTAAAATTCTATTTACATTTTACATTGAATGCCCTAGGCGTTTGGACACACACACGAACCCACACACAGAGCCTTGCTAAGGGAGCTGATTTTGTCAAGAGGGAGCGAGAAAACTGTTTTCTGAGCAAACCTTTTATTATTGAATCATGTATAAGCCCCACTAGCAAACAAAGGAAAAATAATGAAATGTTACTTTTAAATATTTCATGATTTAAAAAACTAAATGATTTCACAGTTACACAGCTCTGATGTGGAAACCGGTTGAAACCATTTGAACTTTTGGTCTGGGCCTTTCGGCCCTTTGAGATTTACAAAAAAGAAGAGTAACCAATTTCTTGAAAGATCGAAATAAAATTATGTATATAAAATGCCATAGTGCAGCACAAACCTGATCTTGGCGTAAATTTGATAAACGAAATAATTACTAAAATCGCTTTGCTATCAATACTATTACTAAGTTCATTTATAAATTGCATAAAAAATTTATTTGACTACAAAGAAATTAAAAAGTATATAACAAAGAAGTAGTGCGAAGAGCACCCAGCGTTTATGGGTATGGCCCTTTGCCATCACGAGTGTCGGCTGGGGGCGAACCGTAGCTGTCACGAGGCTCCACTGGCGAATCGGAGTCTGAGTCATCTACACGCTCCTTTTCAGAAACGGATGTCGAGGACCCTGAAGCAGCAGAAGACTGCTGCAACAGAACACTGTCGGTAAGGGGTAGCTCAGATATTTTAGAAATTGGAGCGGCTGACGAGGATGGAGCACTTAAAGCTACAGCGGACACTATAGGCTTCAATGCGAAGGGCACACGATTGACGACAGCATTGAAGCCGCTCGGTCCATCGACGGTATAGCTGACGGTGCGCTGGAAACCATCAGGGTCTACAACACTGTATGATCCCTGAATAAAGTAACCATCACGAGCTTCATTGTGCGACTTGATGTCACCAGTGTATTCATCGTGTACATTGTACCTGTAATCGTATTTGGCTGGTGGGTTATATTCCTCAACTGGAACGACCTCGGGAGCTAACCTTTGCTGCGCATTCGAACTGAATGATGTGTCAATGTTTGTCGAAGTAGTAAGAACAGATCCTGAAGATGATGAGGACGAGGAAAGAGCTTCATAGTTTTTTGGGGTGTAGTCATAGCCAGCAGGTGCGGGTACACCATTATTGGATTGCGTACGAGTGCCGCTGCTATATGAATTGTCATTGCGCTGTGGTTGCTGTGTTGGCTGCTGTTGTTGTTGTTGCCACTGCAGTTGTTGAGATGCATTATTATTATAGTTATTAAGCAGTAGCTGTTGCACGGAGTTAGGGTTGTAGTTGTAGCCATTTACAGGAAGCTGTTGCTGTTGCGTCGGTGCATTGTTACGAAAGCCGTTTAAAGCTTTCAGTGGGACGTTGTAGCTGTTTGCTGGCTGTTGGTCGTTATCGCTATAACTTTTTATGTTATTAGTTCCAACATCATTGTTGTTATTGGTGTAAAGGTTTGGATTGTAGTTGAATTCGGCAGAAGCGGACCCCAAAAAACCAAACACCGCCACGCAAGTGAGGAAAGCAAACTGATATAATAATAGTTATTTATGAATTAGTTATAATTTTGAAACTGATTTCTTTTTTTTCTTACCCTAAATGCCATTTTTTCTAAGATATCCTTTGAATTTGAATTTGCTTTGGTTCGCTTTGGCGACTTGTTGCAGAGCGATGCTGAAAACGACTATGATCTTCAACTACTCTGGGTGAAATATTTATAATGCAACATGATTACTTTCCGACAGTTCGATTAAGTAGCCAATTTTTTTTATTTGTTGTACTATAATACTCGTATCAATAAATAAGTCTCATGAGCGACGCTAACTTGGTCAAGTTATTATTAATTTATGGTATATATCGTCGTTTAAAGTGCAAAACCGCGTATCAACAAAATGCAAAACCGCGTATGAGAGGTTGCATAAACTATTTTCTAGAGAGTAAAAGCACTCATATTTCAAAATGGTTCACTTTTTTAAAAAACAATCGCGTTTCTGGCTAGTATATTTCAGGACGAATGGATAAGGATTGAGCCAAGAGCTTGTGTGAGCAAATCCAATTTTTGGCTGCAAATCTCAGTTACGCAGTTTTGCAGAATGGCGATACGCGGTTTTGTACTTTAAACGACGATATGTATTTCGAATATCAGTTATAATAAAGCAAGTGCAAAGCATCTAAAATTCCATGTCGAAAAAAACAGCATTGTATACAAAAACCAACTGACGGCATCAGTTGTTTTGCCGTGCTTCGTAGCAATTGTTGGGCAATATTTACACTTACACTTTTAGTCATCTATGTAGTACGTATGTAACATACATACACATTTTCTTCTACCTGTGTTCGTTCAAACGCTAATCATTACTCGACATATTCCTCTGACATAATCAGGCAAAAAATAAGTCATGAATTAAAATATTGTCAAAGAAGTGAAATGTCATACTCTTGCTGAATCATCAATATTCAAAATCATTGAGTAGTCTTGGTTTCTTCTTCGTCACATGGAAACCAGTAAACGCTTTTTGCCAAAGTAGAGCAGAAAATCGTATTTGACATTGAAGCGTATGAAATAAGGTAATTAAGACAGTTGTCGCGTATATTGTGTTTTTAAATACCCCATCTCTAGGTCTAAGTACAGGAGTGGTGTATGTATGTGGATAGGCTGATTAATGAAATATGCGGAGGTCATCATCGTGTATTTTACAGCATTTACTTCCAATATGAAAGAAAACAAAAGTATTTGATGATAAAAGTGTTGGGGTATTCGCAAAGGTGTCGTATTGTTGTATGTCGTAAACTGTAAACGGCTAAAAGTATATTTAGATAGTTCCAAGGTACATACCATAAAAGTCATATTATGAATTTTCACAGTGCAAAAACTAGTCCTCTAAATATTTATCTAAGTTTTTAAAGTTTTCGGCATAGAACGATATGACACTTAGGACATCGTTGTGAATATCTCATGCCCAATAAACGCGAAACCGAGAGCGTCATCGTATCGAATTTTTGGGCTTATTTCGAATTAAAGGCAACCCCGAGTAAAACAGTTTTCTCGAAACAATTTTTTCGCATCGTCTTCGAGGCACAATCAAGAAAGTAATTTTTATCGAAAATATTCTTTGATAGGAACTGGCTTTATTAATGCAGAAACGGAACAAAGTAAGTTTCTGTGTTTAGAGTGATTTATGTATAAAACCTTGTTTCTTTAGCTACAGAAGTGCTAATTAATGTTAAATTATTTCCTACACATTTTCTGATATCCTTAGAAAACGAAACATCAAACATCATCTGTTGTTCTTGCATTTCCATTAATGAAATAGACATCGTTTTCGATTTCTATGGAGTGTATGATATAAACGACGTTATTTTTAGTAAGGAAATTATTTGGACGCTTAAGGAAATATATTTAGACTAGCTATACCCTGCAACGCTTTGCTGTGGCATATTCCTGTTACATGGATGATAAATTATTAACGAAACAAAGCATACGTTTCATATGAGTTTGATTCAATTCTGTTTCAGTTTATTCAGTCTATGATTACAATCTTACAGGCTAGATAAAAATAAGACTACCATAATTAAAACTAAATACTATAGATTTAGATACACAAGTAGTTATAAGAAAAATGAATCAATAGATGACTTGAAAATATTTCTCGGCAACGAAAAATCAATATTTAGACTCTTTGAGACCTTGTTAAATTCTGTCAGAGCGCGGAAAATCGGATCAAAATGGTAATAGTTAGCCTTAGTAGCACGCAAGTAAAACGGCAGAGATGAGCGCAGAAATCTGTGAGGCACATCAAAGGATATCTTCTCCAGAAGGACCGAACAATCCGAAGAGTCAACAACCAAATCAAAAACGAACATGAGCAACTGGACAATTCTTCTAGTTTCAAGAGTTTGTAGGTGAATAAGTTTACAACGGGAAAAATATGAGGGCATCGGGTCATCAAAGTTAAGGGAACTTAACGCAAAACGAACAAATTTTCTCTGCACTATTTCGAGTCTGGCGGCATGACAGCCGTAAATGGGGTTCCATATAATAGAAGCGTACTCTAGTTTTGATCGTACTAAAGAGATAAATAAAGCTTTCCTGGTGTATGGATCCTTAAAGTCTTTCACATATCTACGCAGGAAAGCCAGGTTACTGTAGGCTTTTGGAAGCACGCAAGAGATATGATTGACAAACGAAAAATTTGAGTCAAAGACTACGCCTAAGTCAACAAACTCTTTCACAGAGGCCAAGCGAGTGCTAGAAATACTGTAATTAGAAAAAATAATGTTTGAAGATTTTGAGAAGGACATATGAAAACATTTATTTACATTTAAGTGAAGCTTGTTCGTATGACACCAACTGACCAGGTTACTCAGGTCGTACTGCAGAGAAGAAACATCCGACGAGTCGTTAACTCTACGAAAGAGTTTGAGGTCATCTGCATAGAGTAAAAACCTAGAAAATTTGAAACAGGAGCCAATGTCATTTATAAAAAGGACGAACAAAAGTGGTCCGAGGATACTGCCTTGGGGAACACCCGACGTTGCCACAAAATAGTGGGATTTACAGTTTTCGACTTCAACAAACAAGGTCCTATTAGACAGATAAGATTTTAACCATTGTAGAAAGGCAGAATGGAGGCCGATAGACTGAAGTTTATATATTAAGATTGCGTGCGACACCTTATGAAAGGCCTTCGAAAAATCTGTATAAATGGTATCCACCTGAGTACCATCTTTGAAATCTGATACACAGAATTCAGAGAAAGATGCCCAGTTAGTAACAGTAGAACGCCCGACAACAAACCCGTGTTGGTGCGGCTCAACAATGCTCTTGGTAACGAAAGATAATTTCTCCTTTATAATTTTTTCGAATAGCTTAGAACAAACTGTGAGTTTAGCAATAGGCCTATAATTAGCGATGTCATTTTTATTGCCAGATTTGAATACTGGAGTAATTGATGCAATCTTCCATCTATCAATGAATGTGCCAGAAGACAGAGACAAATTAAATATATGACATAAAGGAACACATAAAGATGAACTGCAATGCGACATAACATAGGCGCAGAGCCCATCACTATCGCATTTTAGCGAAGGTTTAAGCGTGGACATAGAAGTGCTAACATCCAATTCTGTGCTTGTGAGGGAACCAAAATCAATGCGTTCTGATAACTTCGAGCGAGCGTTAGAGTTATTCGGGTTATCAGCCTCACTATAAAAGTTTGATTTGAAGAACTCAGCAAAGAATTCAACTGTGTCAGGCAAAAATTGAGAGAATTTACCATTAAGGCACATACAAGCCGGTATGTTGGAAGACCCACGCTTAGAGCGAATAAAATTCCAAAAAGCCTTAGGATTTACTTTAAGCTCAGCTTCCAGTTTACCAATATAACGATTATAAAGAAACTTATCCAGCACATTAAATTGATTAACATAATTCATATACTGATCCCTGAGAACAGCATTCGCAGTGTTGGCCTTATACAGTTTATGATATTTATTACGTTTATTCTTCAAATTTTTTAGAGTAGTGTTATACCATGGTAATTTATGAAGTCTAGGAGGAAGAGGAGGCACTTTAATGGAAAAAAAACTTCTGCCAAGTTAGACAAGAAAGTATCAAAACATAAGCTCACATCATTTGTTGAAAGAATATTAGCCCAGTTAATATCGCTAAGTGCATTATTCAACTCACAGAAGTTGGTAATCCGAAAATTAAAAGCGGAAGTACACGAATTGCTCGGAATAGAGAAAACATCAAAAAATTTTAAAGAAATAACAAGCGGAACGTGATGTGTGTCAGTCTTGTACAGAGGTAGATTACTCTCAGAAAGGTTAAATATTAAGTTTTCGTCTACAAATACTAGATCGAGCATCTTATATAGCGAATTAAATAAACAATTCATTTGAATAAGGTTACAACTTTAGAGACTATCAATAAAATTAATTTCGTTAGATCGCATGACGTTAGTAAGTGTCAAAATACCATTATTCTGTAAATCTATCCAGATAATATCAGGCAGGTTAAAATCACCAATAATACAAAAGTGGGAATCCATATTAGTGTCGCAGAGATCAACTATATTTTCAATATGAGAATTATATAAGCTATCAGAGCTACCGGGTGGTATATATGATACTACAGAAGTCGCTAACCTGTTATTAACAGCAGTAGCAGAGAAAGAATTCAGTGCAGATGACGTTTGTAGTGTAGATCCAATGTTAGCCGCAACTGGCATTGCAGCAGCGACTGTAGTGGTAGAAATGGCAGATGAATGTGATACCGCAGTTCCAGCATCACCAAAAACAGAGGCGACATGCATTACAGGTAGCGTTTCCATTGCGTAAGGCTGCAAAGTCATGGCAGCAGCATTAGTAGAAGCTGGAGAGCCAGAAGGCGGAGAGGCGGCGTCGGCCACCGAAGAAACGGAGGAAACAGTACCACTAATTTGCTTTATTGTGTGAGCGGCAGTTGCCATGACATTCGTCTGGTCAGCAGCAGAAAAAACTCTGGTCGATTGAATTGACTGCGCGAGGGCACTTACAGTGAGATGCATTTTGGCGAAGTTCACTAATATCAGCAAAGAGCGATGCAAGGGCAACGAGTACATCTTCAGTGTGCAGTTTACGCAAGGCTATTAACTCAGCATGCAGTTTAGTTGTTTCATCGATTAAAAGTTTTTTGTCTGTATGGAGAGCACTAATCTCAGCGAATACACGAACTTGATCAGCTCTAATTGCTTTAAGCTCACTAAGGGCCGGTTACTCAATGTCTGGTTAACACTAATCTCCGGTTAAACATAGTTATCGACGTTACCGACGCCCTGTCGTATGCATGGAGTCGAAGACGTCGATAAAGATGTTTAACCGCAAATCAGTGTTAATCAGACCCTAAGAATAGTAAGTAGAATAGACAATTGTTGTTGCGATTATTGAGCAGTATTATTAGAAGCCGTAGACGATGACTTTGACAGCTGTTGTTGATGAGTAGAGTTGGAGATATTGGCGATATGGGCGGGAATAGGTGACTTAGAAAACGATGCAGACTTCGAAATGTCCACCACTTGATGGTTAGCGGCAGGTGGAGAAGAGTGCATAGATTTTCGGCGAATACCCGCGCACTTTTTACACATGTATTTGTAGTCAGAGTTCATGAAAAAATCCAGATCAGCAAGCGAAAGACCAACACAGTTGATGTGGTAGAACTCGTTACAATTATTGCATTGTACTTTCGCTTGGTTGCGATCAACTTTTTGAGCGCAAACACAAGGCATGTTGATTATTTAATAAATTAAATTATGACTTTCACATCAACTTTGTTTAAAAAGATGCAACAAATAGAGTCACTGTCTCATTGGACTAGGCCAGATCAAAACGAGATTAAAATTTCGATATTTTTTTTACTCAAACACAGGAGCGCAAAAAAAAAACCTCCGCACTTCACACTGAGTTTGATTTTGTTGTTTGTTTTGTTTGAGTTTGATTTTGGAATAAGTACTTGTGTGCACACAATATTTGTCGTGTTTCCATTCTCTGCATTGATATCAAGGATATCTGGTTTGCCGACACGGGAACACGCAACATCTAAGAACCAATCCGCATCTCACTCTAAACCACACTTTTCCAAAGGATAACTTTGAGCATTAGTGATTGTGATTCCGAATGTCTATCGAATTGGGAATTGCAATCTTTAAAATTGAAATGGTGTATCGTGGGAATTCTTCACCTTTCAAAGGCCACGTAAAAATCTTTACTTACACTACGTTCTTCATCAATTTCTTAACTGCGAGTCGCGTACCGTTGCGGAGTTTTAGCTGATTAATATTCCGCAACGTGATAATTGGCACACCTATTTTCAATTCAGTATGTGGCGTCATCCCTGGAAGATCAATCGAGTTCAAAAATTCCGTTGGATAATTAACTGATTCGTCTTCTTCCACAACGGTGTTTATCGACGCATATGTTATTGTTTAAGCGACTTATGAATTTCCCGCTTAAACAAAGAACAGCGAACACACAGACGCACTTGCTTTTAAAGGTTCTTCGCTCGTGTTTAATTGGGTATGCATTTTTTATGCAATTCTCAAATATCTCTTCGCTGAACTTTGTGAAGTGATAAGTCGCTGGCATTTTCAGCTATGGTCAACGCTATCCCAGCTTGGCTATCACACGGTGCTTTGAGCATCACCCACATTCACTCCCGGAGTAATTTTTGGCATGGTATTAAGCTACTGCTTACAAACCACACTCGGGCTCTGCACGAATGCATCCCTGGATAAATCCCAGCTCATTGCCCAGCAGGCTAAGGCAGCTAGAGCATGACTCCTTCAATGGAGTCCCACAATGAATACACGGTGGAACGGTCACATCTTGCGCTACCGCAAGACGATACGGGCCAATTACGTGGCCTGCTCGATCCCCAGACCTGAATCCATTCGATTTTTTCTACTGGGGCTATGTTAAGGACAAAATTTATTCAAAAATAATTCAAAACGAAGAGCATTTGCCGGAACAAATAAATGGAGCTGCTGCTGAGATAGCCCAATTGAGTTTAAGATCTCTAAGAGCGTACTTTCTTAATAGGTGCCGAGCTTGTATTAGAGTAGAAGGTCGCCAATATGAGGATATTTTATCAATAATTGAATAAATTTTTCTGCAAAGAACTCATGTATGTTTTATTTCACGTGAACCCATCCTTCACAAAAAATATTGATCGATATAGCCCTTGTATTGACTCTAGTCCGAATAAAATAATGTCAGGAGCATGTAATAATGTACCTTTATACTATTTAGCATATCATTGGTAAGTAATAAGACCAACTTAAATTTAAATCTATTAAATACATTCTAGCGTGTCTCAGTCCTTTACCCACAAAAGCGGCTATAACTTTTTTTTCTGAAATATCTATTAAATGATACATTTTTTTATGTAAATAATGTAGAGTTATAGCTCAGTACATTTTTTTCACCAGAGATAGTCAAAGTTGGGGAAGAAAATACCAAAAAGTTAAAAATCGCAATATAGTCCTAATTTTATAATGGTTCCTCAATATATTTTAACTACATTGCATTTGAGTATAGAGAAGCAACTATCTGAAAGTATTTTACATAAAAAATTTACTAAGTATAGCCTTGTTTGTAGATGCAGTTAAAGAATAATGAAAAGGCACGATTTTTCAAAAAAATTTAAATATTTCAAAAA